CCACCACCACCACCACCACTGCCCCTACCGCTACCACGACCATTACCATCACCACCACTACTCCTACAAAATCAAATTCTACTGCAAATCATCTCGTTCATTCGTGACGATACGTAGTGCATGTTGCGATTTTGAATTGAAGCGTTACGTCTATAGTGTTTAAGGTTGCTGGCGCGACCTAAACCATCATGTTCCCACTGACGGAACCCCCAGAAACTCTGAAACAAACCCATCTCCGAGCTGAGGCACTCTTGGACACGAGATTTCACCTGGAATTTTGCACATAATCTCTGGATGCTGGTGTCTTGGGAAAAGATGGACGGATTGTAGGTCCCTGCAGTAAGCTGTTCATTTTCGTTCGACAAATGCCCGGTTGGCGGCCCGTTTTCAGGTTCCATGTATGTTTGGAGGAGGCTACATAGTTATATACACTTCCCCGAACGAACACGAAGTACACTGCACAGTCCTTTGCAAAGGGCTCAAAAGGGGGTATACGTGCAAGGAACCTAATAGTTAAGCCAAAACAGTGAATGAGGGCATACGGAAGCTGTGTATTTGATAACTTGCCTGCATAGCAGTTGTCGCATCTCTGCTTCCACCTCGAAGAGTCTGCACAATAGCATTGAGGCACAGTCCCGAACATCTCCCTTAAACCCTAAACTCCCAACCGCTCAAACCCGTCGAGGTCTTCCTCAGATAAAACATCTTGTAGTCCTTATATAACTGTTGGAGTTGCAAGGTACCCAAGCTTTGGGAAGTGCCGACGCCAACCCCTAAAACCCCTGAACCGAACCCATGTAATCCCAGTTGCTTGTTGACACACCGAAGCCTGATCAAAGCTATGCTTTTCTGCCGTGATGTCCTGCAGCTCCACTCTCAGCTTTTCCTGGGATTGTGGCTATACAAGGTTTGGGGATTAGTTTGTGTTTTTGTTGCTGTGCGGGTTTTGTTTGTGGGTGCTTAAGTCTTACGCTCTTTTCTATGGGTCTAAGGGTTTTTTGGGGTTGACCTTAGGAAGATGTAAATGTAAGTGTAGTCCACCTACTCCGGCGTATGCTAATAACTAATAAAAAAAAATTCTGCACCGGTTCAGACTAGGGTCTCAACAATGTTGAAGTGTCAGCGCGCAGAAAAAATGATCTGGCAGCTTTCTAAAGATCCCGTTTTGAACCGCAAAGCACTAATCCACATTACAGGGCCTCAAAGAAAACCCCCAAATTTCGGACCCCACGTGAGCTATAGTCTAAACTCCTAGTAACCCCTTAATAACCTGTAACTGTCCTGTAGAATTCCCTTCAAGGACTTTAGACTATAGCTGGTTTAGGGCGATACAATAGAGGCCCTGAGAATGCCCTTGAGAGCTGTGGTCGCCCACGGGAGGACCAGTATTGGTTCTCAGGAGCAGGACACGGAACAAGTTTAGGGCTTAAGGCCTAGGATGGCTTTCTTGTCCTGCGTATTAAGCCCAGCCCTGCTCAAAACCCTGCCGTGAAAAAAGCCTCACTCACCCAAATTTTACACTAACCTCGCTGCTGAACCTTAATGCGCTTGAAAATGCAGAAGTCCTAGAAAAGCCTCGGTCCTCGGTAGCACACATCACCCGAACGCCCCCAGGACCCTATAGGAATTGAGAACCTGGACGAGGCAAGAGTCGTACATTCGTTCGTCTGTCACGCAGCCGAAGAAGTCCGGACATACCTTTGCTGCTGTTAGGGCCTTTCGTGTAAGCATTCCAGATGAGTTTGCCTTGGATATAGTAAACGCAGGTTATGGGGTCACCAAAAGTACCGCATCATGTGCAACATTAAGAAGGTATAATAGGTCCTAGGTTTGGGCGTGGCGTTTAGCAGAATCGTTTAGTCAGATCGTCTCCTGATGCTCCTGAGAGGGTGGTTCTAGCTAAGCTTCAACTTCAGAAAACAAAGCCTGCACTGTCTTTGAAAGGGACCCTACATTCCCCGCATACTTCCTAGATGGCCCTGTTTTTTGAGGTCGTCTTTCTGACACTCTATTGAGGCTTTTGTGGCAGGTTCAGAATTTGGAGGGGGCTATATAGGGTTTATATAGGAGGATCGTTCTAAGCAATCTTGGTCGATTTGGACACCATCGGCTAGGCTTTGGGGTTTAAGGTTTGGATAGCTTTAAGATCTGATCTTCAAATCCCCTCCATACAACCACTAAGCACCATAATAGCAGTTCCACTACTTCTTCGTCTACTGTGGCCATTACTATCTATCACTGCCACTATTACCGCTCAGGTACTACTGCTACTCCTCTTACCTTTATAGAAAGGCACCCCGTGCTTAAGAAGAGTCGCGATCAAATCGTCTGGGCGAATCGTCCCTTGGAAGACGGCGCCTTCCAATCCGCAGATGCAACGCAGGGCGGGCCTCGAAGAACAGCAACGGCACTTCCCCTACTCCATCAGTAAAATAGGGTTTAGGATGATTTAAGGAGGTTTTGGGGTAGAAGTAAGAGTAATGGTATGTGAAGAATGGGGTTTAGGATGGTTCTGGGTTAGGTTTAGGGTTTAGGGTAGAAAAGAGGTATTGGTATGTGACAGTAGTTACAATGGTAATCGCCAAGGTGATGGTAACAACTCCTGAGAGTAATAATGATACTTTGGGCATTTGGGATTCGGGGCCCATGCTTCTAGATGCTGAGCCTGGGGATGAGGTGTCCCATGCGCTGGCCCAATTCCAAATGAACGCAAGAATAACCCTCTTTTTTGCTATCTTCTGTGCTTCTTGAACAGTGCGGAGACTATGACCAGAAATCGCGACAAGGCTACCATGGCAGTATTTGATAAGGCAGAACCCGAGTGCTAATCCCCGTCCTGTGCAAGCAATACCAAGTTCCTCCCCTCTCTCCTCGCTATGTCCTCTCCACGTCTGTCCCTGTGTGTTGCGGCCGAAATTCTCGACCAGTGTGGATGCTGGGTCGAAAGATGCCTCGGCAACAGGGTTCTATGAGGCTATACGGGGACGTATGGAATAAATACCCAAAATCATAGCGATTCTGCCCACTATTTTGAGCCCTAGGCCCTCGGCGTTGATTCTGTAAGCTCATTCGTCAGGCCCTTACTCCAGGGATCTTGCGTATGCAGCTGACTTCGCCGTCCTACAGCACACACAT